GAGTTGGGGGCAGAGCCCGGGGAGAGACTGCTGCCCAGGATTTCGCTGGAATTGGAAATGCTTGGTTGACCTGTTAACTTCCTGTGAGACATGTGGAGCAGTTGTGAAGCTGTAGGAAGGAAGTAGCACAACCACAGTGCAGGGGGAGTGAAGGAGGGGGAGAAATAAGGAACACATCTGCTCGGAGCCTTCAGATCCTTCCATGAAGCCCTAAACTGACTGACTGATCCCCCGACCCCAGTTAGCTGGTCAAACTATCCTTCACTTTATGCTGTTTCCTTTCTATTGTCTCTGAGCACTGCTAAAAACCAGCCTTTTAGAGGCTGGGCACTCGGAAGGGAGCACAGCCAAGAGTAGGAGTCAAAATGTAGGCCTGACCAGCCCTCATTTAGTAGGGCTGCCGCTGTCCCAAGTGCATGATTAAATTTGTCTTTAAACAGTCTGTTCCCACCCAAGGAAGGATGCCTCCAGGCTACTGCTGCAGAAGTTCATTAGCTCATAAAATACTTGGAGTGGGAAGGTTCAGTTAGCGCTTTAAACCCTCTTCTCCTTTATATATGGAGGTTAGCTGACTGCTGGCTAGTTAAGCAAGCACTTCTTTTGTCTTTAAGCATGAAACCTCAGGCCCCAAAGTTTTACTTACATTGCAACTGCTGCTTTTTGAGCCTGAAGCTTAAACCACTGAACAGAATTACCGGGTACCTCTTTCTTTTGAAGCTGTGTTTCAGGTGTGGCATCTAGGTCGACTTCAAATAGCAGAGAGATCCAGCTGCTTGGGGTAAAACTGTCAAACATGCTTAAATGACTGAGGAGCCAAAGTCCCATTGAAAGTGAACGGGACTGGGATGCTGAAGCCACTTAAATGCTTTTGACAACGTTGTCCTCTGCCTGCAGGACCCAGCTGCCCCTGCACTTCTAGGTTTTGGGGGTTGAGGGTTTTCTATTTGGCCTGGGATTTGAAGCAACAGAACTGGTTATAACTGCGCATCTGTTGCAAGTATGAACAATAAAACCTCAGAAATCAAACTTTGCTGCAGTAAAATATTGCTATGCTGTTGCTTGCTAACATCAGTGTGGGCCTCTTTCTTTACACACATGTAGCTGTGTTGCTTAAAACAAAAGCTTCATGACCAAGACCCTGTTTGAAGGCAGCAGTTTGCTCTCGTGTGGTTCGTTGTAATTTAGCAGTCACCAGCATATTTGCTACGCTGAAGCATGTCCTTCTGGGATGCATTCATTCTTCAGCCAGGCTGTTAGTGCTTTTCCCTCCTATCTGGTAACTCGCATGAAATGAGAGCAATTTTGGCCCCGAGGCTGCAATCATATCTCTGTGGCCCTCATTAGAACCATTTTGCAGTAGTTCAGTTCCTAGCTCTGCATTTGAGAATAGGTCTGAAGATGTTGCGTCGTAGCCCAAATGCCTTGGAGCCAAATAAAGATAACTGTCCAGGCAAAATACTTCTTTCGCTGCTTCGGTTTCATCGCGTGCTTATCGGTTACAGGAAGGTTACTAGTTCCCCAGTTGTGTCCACACCTTCTGTCACCTCCGCCCTGCTGCCTGGCACCAGTTACACTTTGTTCCATTTTTTTTCATGTAAATGCAGTGTTCAAATTTGTGTGGTTAAACTTGCACAAAGCGGGTATTTGTACCAGCTCCTCTGATGCCCTTGCCCAACTGGAGGATCTCTGGAACATGTTTTCTACGCTGAGTTGCAATGAAGCGCGACACCATTTTCCCTGTCCCTGGCTCTATGTTTAAATTTTCAAGCAAATTACCCATACTTGCTGATACACTGAGTTAAATTTGAACAGCTTCTTTCTGTGTTGAGGGTGCAAAGACTCACTCTGGTTCCATTCTTCACTTTTTGCTTTTATTTATTCAGTTGTATGTGTGAGTTGGCTCTGTCCGTCTGTGTCAACTTTTGGTGTCATTTTAGATTATTATTAGACTGCCCTCACTGAACAGCACAAATGCCTCTTTCCTTCCTATATAATGACATAGCCTGGCTTTGTCTACAGTCCCAACTTTTGTGTTGAATTAATGTCCAAAAGTTCAGAGTGGACAGGTCCTACAGCTGCGTCCCCTTTATCACTAGGGTTTATCAGGACAAGAACCAGTTCTCATAGTATATAAAAATCCCACTACTCAACTACATCATTTTCAGACTAATCTATGATACCTAGTAGCATGTAGGAAGCCACTGAATAAAACTTTACAGAAGTATGTGGTTTTAGGAGTCTTAAGCTCATTGAATACACACACAAATCATTGTTCCACACGCTGGCCTCTATAGGCATTAGCCTTGTGTGGCTCTGGAGAACATTTCATTATTCTTTAACACCTTCTCAAGATTTTTCTGGGTGTCACGGATGTCGTGCTAAGCTCATCCAACACTGGAGAGAAGAAAATGCCCGATGTGCTGAACCTGAACCTTCAGAACTTCTTGTTCTGTAACTAATCCATGTAGCTTAGTTGTACCGTTATGACACTGCTTCCACACTTGTGTTGGGAATGCTCCATACATACCCAGCTAATCCTTTTGTCCACTGTCACACATTTGTGATACACTTCAGACTGGCACTGGTGGCTTCATTCCTTTGAATGAAGCCAGCTATTTTTTTTCCAATGATTTCTAACTATTTTTTCCAGCTCTTTGAGTTGGTCTAATAAAAGCTATCAGATTTACCCAAACAGCCTTGCCTTCCTTTGAAGGAGCACAAGTATAACCCTCACCTTTGTGGAAGCACAAGTGTTGGAGTCTTAGAGCTCCCTTCCGTCTCCCTTCCGCAGCCATCCCTGGACTGGTTGCTTGTTGGGAGAAGCAGAAAATATGGGCCAAAGTGTGTTAGACTTGTTCTGCAGGTCTAAAGTTTGGCTGGCTCTAGTTTCAATCTCTTATGCCTAAAATAGTGTTAGGTATTAGACTTCAGAGGCAGCTAAGGAGCTGCTTGCATTTGCCCTCTGTTGAAATTGCCCTGCATTGCCAAAGGAAATTGCACACACACGCGCGCACAGCAACGCAGCATTCACAGAGAGCTTTTTTTTAATATCTTCCAAGTGTGGACATATTCTTCTCTCTACGCTCTGTGTTGTAAGGAAACCTGATAGAAACTCGATACCTGTAGAGCTGCAGATTCATCTTGCTGCTCTTAAAATACACAGATCTTGGATGTTGCAACAGGTCCAAATACAATGTTTATGTAACATTAAAATAGAGCTGGCTTTGAAGAGTATCTTGCAGCTGTTGCCTAAGTTCAGCCTGAGCATCTGTTGGGCTCAGATCTGTAAAAAGTGACAAAGACCAGAATCTCTCTGTCTCCAGCTGACAGGTTCTGTACTCCAAGCAACTCACTTCCTTAACTTGGGCAGACGATCAGATGTATGCAAGGAGAAAAAAAGAAAAAATAATGCTCATGTAGGGGCTTGTTCTTTTGACTTTATGCCTATTTAAAAATGCTCTTTCTAGACTCTGCAAAACTTCAAAATACAGGGGATTAAAACACCCAGTGAATCCATGGTGAGGCAGTGCAGGGAACAGAAGCTGATTGTGGCTTGGACTTGGATTCTGGGGCTGTTGCTGGAAGTGGAGACCATAAGTTGTCCGTTGAAATATCCTTGTTCAGGGACGTGAGCCTTGCTGCTGAGAAGGGTTTGCAAGGAGTATACAAAAAGAAGCAGCCAGGTGAATGACTGGCTATGTTGCTGGGCTGAAGCTGAGAGTTCAGCTCTAAAATAAGTCGCCTTATTGCACTACAAGAAGCTTATTTTATAAATGTCAGCTTTTTGCACTAAAATAAATCACTTGCAACTCTAAAATAAGTCATTTTAGCAGATTTGCATCTCGGGGCCAGTTTATTTCACCAAGGGCAAGCCTGCAAGTAGGGTGAGGAGCCTTGGGCTGAAAATTGGTTCCAGTTCAGTGCGATTGGATGACCTTGTTCATAAAACTAATCAAACTAGCGAAAACACTGGAATCAGTGGGCACATGCTGGCTATATCTCAACTAATTATGTTCACGGATGCGGTTATCCTGCAGTCCTGTTGTAGCTAGCTAGCTGCCGTTGAAAGCAAGACATGTTAAAAGGTTCCTGTGAATGACTGGATCCCTCTCTCAGGCATCCGGTGTCCAAGGCTGGTTAGCCTTGAAGTGGGGAGCTTATGGTACCTAGCATTGTAATAGCCTGTGCGGCTCCATTGCTACCAGAGCCCCCGGTTAGTATTGATCTGCCAAAGCCGTCCTGAGAGAAAGCAGAGTTCACGTGCCTCTCCCTTACACCGCTATGTCCTCTCCTCTCCTCTCAAATGTGTGAGGCCACTGGGGCAGGGATCCCCCGCAGCCTAGCCTGCAACTCCAAGACCTGAGCACTGGTGATTAGGAATGGGAAGGGGAGCACGTCCTTCATAAAGAAGAGCGGGGAGAGGAAGCAAGCAAATGAATGCTCCTTCCACTGGTGAGCAGAGAGCTGTCCCTAACGTCCCTGCTCGTGCTGTCAGCCAGGAAGATAATTACTTTGAGCCTTTTAGGGGGAAAAGAGCATGTTCTCATGCAAGATATAGCTACCTGGGGAGTGCTGGATGTGGCCCTAGATAAAAAATAATGCCCCTTAGAGGCTCCATGGTGGAAGACATGGAGCACAGGCCGTGTAGCCAAGAACACTTGGATTCTGATTCTGCTCTGCCTCCTGACTTGCTGCGTAGCCTTGGGCACATCTCTTAACCTCTGCCTCCCATCCACAAAACAGACCAAAATGCCTCCCTACCTCGGAGTGGTTGTGAAGGGAGGATAATAAGTGTTTGAAAATATAAATCACATTGCGACCTGCTGTGCATTAGACAACGTGGGCTGAAAGCAACAACTGCCTCTTTGCGAAATGCTCCTAAAAGGGAGGTTTTTTCCTGGTTTGAGGTAGTTTCTGGATTTCTTCAAGCCGCGTTTCTGGCTGTCCTACCCGGGGCAAAGCCTGATTTCTCTAACTTCTGCTTTTGTGATCTGTTGCAGGCGCAACCTGACAAAGCTGTCCCTGATCTTCAGTCACATGCTGGCAGAACTGAAAGGCATTTTCCCAAACGGCCTCTTCCAGGGAGACACGTTTCGGATCACGAAGGCAGATGCTGCCGAATTCTGGAGAAAGGCTTTTGGGGAAAAGTAAGTTTCTCAGCGTGTTTCATATGAGAGAGAAGATCAGCACTTACACGTACATCCTGTGTATTAAAAATGCTGCTTCTGCTTTGTGGAACACAAATGCCCTTGTTGGATTAATCATAGAAATTAGTGATGGGAAAGACCCATTAAGTCATCTCATCTCCTCTCCAAAGTCCACAGTGCTCCCTACTCTCTATTTTTCCAGTTCCTTATCCAGTCTTGTTCTAGCGTGTCAAGTGATGGGGCTTCCTTGCTTTCCTGAGGAGGCTGCTTTCCTGTCATAAATTTTCCCTTCTATTCAGCCTAAATTTTTCCTTTTCTTAACTGAATCCCATTACTCCTCATGACAATCTCATGTGCTACTATGCAAATTTATTCTTCCTCCTCTTTGGAGACTGTGACCACATCCCTCAGGTTAGTTGTCTCTTAGCCAAAATGTTACATTAAGTTCCTTCAGACTTTCTTCCAGTTAGTCGTCCTGATCTCAGAATGACTTTTATCCCAGCTTCTCTGAACTCCTGTCCGTTTGCGTAATGGCCATGTTAAGATAAAAGGGAGGAGACAAGTGCAACAGAATATATTTAGGGAGAGTTGCTGAAGTGTCAAGTTTTTTTTTTCCATTTAACAAAACGCTGACAAAATGAATGCTACCAGCATCTGTTATTACAGTGTTAGTTGAATGGGACAGCGTCTTCTGCCTAATGAAGACGTAGATGTTAGCAGATGTCCAATTCAAAGTAATAATACGTAAACTGTGGAAGTCCAAATGAAACCTGTTGGACGTGGAGGGTGGGAACGGGTCTGAAATGTGGTACACCCTTGCCGTGTATCTTATGGACTTCTCCCCTCTCTGTATTTCAAAAGGAGAAAATAAAAGCTGAACTTTGGAGCTTCTGATTTTGGTCCACAGTTGTCTTCACTGTCTGACTAATCATCTCTCCAGATATAGCTGTGTGCTGTCTTTTGACTGTTTTGGTCTTTCCTACTGAGAGACTGGCCTGGACTGCTCCTGCTGCTGAATTAGGAAGCAGATCAAATGGTGACATTGCTCCTTGCCCTTGCTGCAGTGTGGATTGTGGGCGCTGATGGGACTGGGGAAAGGGAGACCGGAGCTGGGCTTGCAGTACCACACTTGTGCCATGCAGGGCGGTGACCTGGAGAATGGCCCTTTTCCTGCTTACTGCTGGGGTTGCAGAGAAGTTTCTCCCTTGCTCTCGACAGGAGTAAATCTCTCTCATGGTGAAATTGCTTTTGCCCTTCCTAACTTTCCTCATGGGGCATATACATTGCATGCAGCACAGCTCTGGCATCAGATGGTGATGGTTCCCAGCAGTCATGCCACACTTGCTGATCCTTCCCTTTATCCCCTGCCAGGACTATCGTTCCGTGGAAGAGCTTCCGCCAGGCCTTGCATGAAGTACATCCCATCAGTTCCGGGTTAGAGGCCATGGCCCTGAAGTCAACCATCGACCTGACGTGCAACGACTACATTTCAGTATTCGAATTTGATATTTTTACGCGACTCTTTCAGGTATGGGCCAAGGGACGCAAGTCACTCGAATGCGTAAGATAGGGACGTGTCAGGCTGCTTCAGGAGACGCACTTGCTTAAGCCATAACAAGCAAGTTAATACTTGGACCGCCTTTGCTTTTCTTGTCCCCATACAAGCTTCAATAACAGGTTGAATCCTGCCGTGCAGTAACCCTGTGTAACGTCTTGCTACAGACAAAAACATTCTCTAAAAATAAATGGGAACTGCAGCATGCTCTCAGGATCCTTCCCTGCATCAGTTTTTCCCCCTTTAAAGGTCACTTTTAAACTGAAGTAGTGACACAAACTCCTGTGAGCCAGGAAATGTGAAGCTTGCTTAGTTTATCAGTCCATCCTCCCCTGTGCCCTTTTTAATTTCGGGGGGGGCGGGCGGGCTGTTTGTTTTCCGTGGGGGCGTTTTCAGAAAGGAGTGTCCACATGGAACTTTTGATTTCCTGGCTTTTGACCCGCTGAAACCATAATGTCACATAAACATTGTGTGTTCTGTATGATACAGACACCTCTGTTGTCGAATCAGTATTAATATAGGGTGAACAAAATCTGAGTCACTGGCAGAACTGAGCTTGAGAGTGGAGCTTTTGATGGTGCAATAGGAGACTTCCAAGAACAAACGCTTTTTTTCTTTGGCTCTGACATGCCTTTTCCCCATGTGATAGGGTGGGTTGTAATTAAGATATGTCTAGCTGGAAAGTTCCCATGTTCAGTGTTGCAATGGGTCTGATCTGATTCAGGATTTCTTGCAACTACAGTATGTAAAAAGTGGGGTAGGAATTGTTTATAATTTTTAGCACTGCAAACTGCTCAGCTTATTCTCTTCATATGCATTGTTCACAGTGACGTCTGGCATTTATCTGTGGCTGTATTCATTCAGAACCTTGTACAGGCAATAGTTACCATCACGCTCTGCTGAGGGTGAGTGGGTGGTTAGGTATTGCTATCAGACAGAGAACCAGGCCAAGAGGTTAAGACACTTTCTTGGAGCCCGTCAGCAGGAGAACTGGGGCCAGTCATGATTTCTGGTGCTTGGTCCCGGGTCTACTAACCCCCCTGTTCTTTCCATAACTCACTTGTGAGTAGATTGCTGTGATACAATTATTATCTGTTCTTGGGCCAGTTCCTCTGAGCAGAATGACATCTTTCTTGCTGGTTGTTAAAGACTGTATGGTTGGGGTTTGTGTCTTGATTAGCTTATTGACAAGAGTTTCTGCTCAACACCTATTAAGTACACCCATGTACCATTCTCACTCAACTTGAAGTTTGCCTGCCCTTACTTCTGTTGGGAAAGCAGAGGTGGGTTTTTCCCACTTGTGAATTGCACAAAACTGAATAGTTCGTCTCTGGCACGCAGCAAAAGATAACAGCAATCATTACACCTCGGTTTCTTCTCCCCCAAGAATGATAATCAGTCATGCTTTTGCAATGGTAGAAGATAACACTGCTATCCCTAAATTCTGTTTTAAAAATAACTAGTACTTTTTTGCTCCTTTTCCTTCGAAATGGATTCCATGATTAGCCTCTGTACAAGCTGTTGGCGAGGTTTGAGAAAGGGAGTCTTGGGCTACCAGACTTTGGCCACAAAAAGTCCTTCTCTCTGCCTTTGTGATGGAAGGGGTTAACGCCTTTCCAGCTGAAACGCTGCATAATTCAAATGTCTGGCTTTTTGTGCTCCGGTTTGTGGTGCTAGTACTTTGCCTACTGGCATGGTTTGTGTCAGTGAAGCCATGCTATTTTGTGTTGTCTACTCGAGTCCTAGCGCTGCTGGCTGTCAGTTGGTTTTAGCTCATACATTGGACACAGTGGAAAGGAAGTCCAGTTCTTTGACGGATGGGCTGACTTCGGATTAAGGACAGTTGTCTATATTGGTACCTCTTGGAAATGCAGAACTAATGATATTTCTTTTACTGTTTCTTTAGCCATGGTCCTCTTTGCTCAGGAACTGGAACAGCCTAGCAGTGACTCATCCTGGCTATATGGCGTTCTTAACATATGACGAAGTGAAAGCAAGGCTTCAGAAATTCATTCACAAGCCTGGCAGGTTAGTGCTTGAAAGCAGGGGCTCTTTCTCACTAACTCCTCTCATCCATTGTTAATGCAGCACCTGATGTGTCAGAGGCAGCTTGGGTCAACACAAGGCATTAGTCCACGTTGCTTTTAATTTGCATTGCACCTGGGCTAGCAGAGAGTTCCTCCCACCCAACTCAGGAAGAGAGAAGCCGATACCTCTCATTCCTAGGAACAGTCAAGTATTTTGAAAAATAGAAGCCCTATCATCTTTTTGTTGAATGAACGTGTGTGAGGATGCTAATTTTCGTTGCAGCAAAGGATTAAGTTTACCCTGATACGAGTATTTTGATGTTTCATCCACTTGGATCAGATCGCAGCATTCTCCTCTGGATTGGCAGGAGGGTGAAGGGGCGAAAGTTGGTGTAACTCTTCCATTCCTCCTGCTTTTCTTTATCTCCATCATGAGTGAGCCCAACAGAGCTGTTTCCTGGGCACTTAATCGTTTTGGCCGACCTGTGCCAAACTGACGGCTGTGTTCCTTTCTCTCCGTCCAGTTACATTTTCCGATTGAGCTGTACCCGCCTTGGTCAGTGGGCCATCGGCTATGTCACCGCAGATGGGAACATCCTGCAGACTATCCCCCACAACAAACCTCTTTTTCAAGCACTGATCGATGGCTTCAGGGAAGGCTTGTAAGTACTTCACTGTGATGTTTTCTGCCTCTTGCAAGTTGAGGTGTGTCTGCAATGCAACATTTGCTGGGGGCTCTCCCCTTTCCCTGTCAGAGTGCCGTCTCTGCCCTGTTGGAAGCAGATGGGTTTTAGACCGTGTTTGGTGGATTCAGTCATATGCCATTCTGCCTGTTGGTACAGGCAACATCCTGCTGAGGTCAAGTTGGCAGTAAGCACTTGCTGAGCTCCTGTGAGGAAGTACCTACCTTCCTTTCTATTTAGGCCCTGATTCGGCAAAACATTGCATTGATGTGAGTAATTCCCACGATGTCAATGGAGTGACTCATACGCCTAATAACTTACTGCATTGGGATCCAGAGGAGGGACTTTGACTCTCAAGAGTGTTCTTACAGAGAACTCTCTTTCCCCTTGCTTATCTGACTTCCCTTCATCTCTGTTAGAAGTTGGTGACTACCTTGGGTATCAGTCTTGCTTCTTGAGCCTTGATGCCACTCTGATGACACCAAAACTAGCACTGTGACATCTGTTCTTTTTTGGGTGTTAATTTTATCCCTGAGGCTTTACGAAAGGGCAGTATAGGAAGAGAAGGCTGGGAACCTGCAAGTGCCAACTTTATTTTTTTTTTTGAAAAAGAATGATTTGTTCATTAGCAAAAGTGAAACCAGGAAAGAACTTGGGTTTCCACGGGCATTTTCCCCTCAAAGAAATTGCACGTTGTGTTTTGCTCCCCCTAGTTATCTGTTCCCCGACGGTCGGAATCAGAACCCTGACCTGACTGGTCTGTGTGAGCCCACGCCTCAGGACCACATCAAAGTTACACAGGTGAGCAGGGGATTCTGCTTTCTCACAACCTCCTGGCCTCGTACGCTCTAGTCTAGAATGCACCACTTCTGTTACCAAGGAGATCATACACTAGCAATCACTTCTAAGGCAACTGTAATGGATCTGGTAAGAGACCTAAAACTCTTCATATGGTTGGAGTGGGCAGGAAGGCTTGCAAACATCAAACAAAGTTTCGCCTTGATCTAGAGCTGATGGGTTTTAAGGTCCTTGTCTGGAGAAATTGGGCTGCAAGAGGTTCTTGCACCTGCTCTTGGTTAGATGTTTTCCTTTCTCCTTGGGTGCTGTCTCTGGCTTGCTGTGGTGTCAGAAAGGCTTCCAGGGCTTTTTAGGACGGCTTCAAGTCCCATTTTTTCAGAGCCTGACTGAAGTAGGGCCAGCATTACAGTGGAGTCTCTGAAAGTGTCTCTTGCTGTTGGGCTTTGGTTTGGGGTTTGGATGTTATGATTCTTTTCTGTGTCTCTTGGTTTGGATTTCTTATAGCTCTGACCGACAAGGCATGTTATTTTCCAGAATCAGTTACGTCTATCTGTCTTCCCACCAGGAACAATACGAATTGTACTGTGAGATGGGCTCCACGTTCCAGCTGTGTAAAATTTGTGCGGAAAATGACAAGGATGTGAAGATTGAGCCATGTGGCCATCTGATGTGCACTTCCTGTCTCACTTCGTGGCAGGTGAGGAAAGCCAAGCTGTGATTGACCTTCCTGGGAGATGGTATATCTTCTGTCCCACTTAGATCCTCGCAGGTACCGAGAATTAAGGAGGGCGCTAAAGGTACAGCCTCAAATGCATATTAATGAATCTGCAAACTGGGAATTCCAGAGTGCCTGGCTGCAAAGGAAGCACAAGAATGAAGCTTGCCAGAGACTTGTCCCCACGGGATATAGGGGCTGGAATTCTGTCCAAAACTGATTCTACCCATTAGACTTTACTGTCTCTCTGTTGCCTCCAGAGAAGTTCATTGCTGTATTTATAGCACATTTTTAATTTGCCTGTCCCTCATCCCCGTCACCAAAGTGCATTTGCCAAAAAGATGTTACAGATGAAAGGCTTCAACTTTTTTGTATATAAGTTCTAGTCCCTGGGTTTGGTTTCTGTCATAACAGTGGCTGTGGAAAATCACTTCATGTTTTTTGCCTTCCTTCACAGGAATCGGAAGGTCAGGGCTGTCCGTTCTGCCGTTGTGAAATCAAAGGCACAGAGCCCATCGTAGTCGACCCGTTCGATCCTAGAGGAGGAGGAGGGCTGTTGCGGCAAGGTGCAGAAGGAACTCCTTCACCCAGTTATGACGATGATGATGATGACAGAGCTGATGATTCCCTCTTCATAATGAAAGAATTGGCTGGAGCAAAGGTAAACGTGCCGCAGGGCATGTGCTGCTGGAGACAGTGGTATCATGGAGGTGAAGACTCTGGGCTGTCTCTTGTCTTGCTCACCTAGGTCCGCTCAATTTGCCGAGTCCCTGGGCAGAAATGGCAGTCTGTAGCCCAGGTTCATGATCAACACAGAGATGGTGAATGTGGCCGTACAGCGACTGAGGTCCAGCCCAGTGCTACTGGCCACATGCCATATCTCTGACTTTCTATATGTTGAGAGAGGTAGTTAGCTGTGTTAGTCTGAAGTCAGGGTAGATTTGTACCTTATAGACTGACTAAAGCGGAGATGCATAGCATAAGCTTCCATAATCAGCAGGCTTGCTTCATCAGATGCTGTGACATTATGTTGTCATGGAAAGTGGGGCACCGTCCAGGCCATTAGGAGAACAAAATAGCTGTGTTGATCTACCAGAATGTAAAACCTAGATTTATAACACTTCTCTGCATGCTGAGCAATGCTGCTTTTTGATTTATTATCTGCAATCAGCATTATCAGCAGAAATTGAGCCATTTTCCATTGCGATGGGCAGAAGCAGCCAGCGAGAAACGGAGTCTTTCCAAGGTGCTGATGACTGAACTGGGTACCGGGCAGGCCGTTTTGCTGAGGAAGTCGATTTGACTGTCATCTTTTAATACGCTGCCTGATTAATCTGTGTAATAAAGATGGGATGACTGTTGGCCATCAGTGCTGCTTCCTGCCGGGGAGATGCATGCAAAGGCTGCATCCTTTATGGATTGCTGTGCAGATTTTTTTTTTCCTGTCAGCTCATTGTTGCCACTCACCAGTCAGCAGCCGGAGCTGCTCTGATGCATGGGGGAAAGAGATTGAACCTGGCTAGTTTTCAATAATCAGTATCATCTTTTTATAAAAGGGTGATTCCTCTCATTTAAAGAAACCTTCTGAATAATGATCAGAATCCCCTTTGACTTTCACACTGGTTCCTTCTCAGTACAATTGCTCATGTAAAGTTCAGTGTTGTTGTCTTGGACATGGGTGCCCTCATTGTCCACCGTGGGAGTCAAAATTTGACTCTCTTGATGCAGGGTGACTCCTGATTGTGGTTTGCAGTAGACAAGTGGTCTGGAATCTGCCAGTCATGTAAAAGCTGTGCCCAGTGTCTCAGCGTCACAGAGTGCCATCCTCTGTCATCAAGTGATTTTTGTAAGGGTGAGGAAAAAAGGGGGCACTTTTCCCATGTGCCAGGTGGTGAAACACTTTATCCAAGGAGAAGGATGAAGGCTTTGAGACCCTCTTGTGCCAGTGAACGCTGATTTTGGGAGAGGGGCATCTTGTACACCTCTCAAATGTAATCCCGCTCCCTGTCTGCTGATACAGTGGAGCGTGCCCTCTGGTGGTGAACACAGTATGTGCTTGCTTCAAAAATGCACACAAAAAATGGGAGGCAGTTGGTCCAGAAAAACAATGCCAGTGTCTGAGAGGTGGGTTGGATGTGTGCTTGTAGGGTAGAGCGCCAGCTTGGGGCGTCCTGCTGACTTAACAGGGTTTGTCCCCAACATGCTGCAGCCAGAACATGCGTCACCTTTCCTTGCACACGCAGTATGGATATGCTGATGTGTTCGGGGTGCGGTGCCAAAGTGGAGCATGAAAGCATGAGGAGCCTGCTGCTGTGCCGGGGCAGCTTCTCAAGGGCTCGGCACCGGGTCATTTTCTTGACTTTCTCTTTGCAGGTGGAGCGCCCTCCCTCTCCATTCTCGATGACTCCACAGGCCTCACTGCCCCCGGTGCCCCCACGGCTAGACCTTCTGCAGCAACGAGTATCTAACTCCTCTGGGGCTTCCAGCCCAGGAACCACGTCCAAGGTAAAGGCTTCTTCCCTTTCGCTTTCCCAAAGACAGGAGGAAGGATTTCCAGCAAGTCAAACCTAGGGGTTTAGTGCAAATTCCTTGTTTCTAAAAGTCTAAGGAGGGCATTTGGGGGTTTTATGCAGTGAGTCTAGAATTAATATCTCATAGATGAGCTCCTAACTGGAGTATGGGAGAGGGCTAGGCCTTCTGCTTTTTAAGCTGCATTTTCAAGTGGCTTCTGCTGTCTCACAGGTTGTTCCCAGTTCTCTTCACAAGGATAAACCTTTGCCGATACCTCCGACACTGAGAGATCTCCCGCCTCCGCCTCCTCCAGACAGGCCACATTCCACTGGGGCAGAGAGCCGACCTCAGAGACGCCCTTTACCCTGTACGCCAGGAGATTGTCCTGTCAGAGACAAATTACCACCAGTGCCCTCCAACCGTCAAGGGGAGCCCTGGGCATCACGGCCCATTCCAAAAGCACCTCCCGTAGCTCTCAGCCCTAATGACCCATGGGCTGGTAGAGAACTGACAAACCGCCATTCGCTCCCATTCTCCTTGCCCTCTCTGATGGACTCCAGACCTGACGTACATAGGCATGGCAGTACACTCAGCCTGGATACTACGACGGTAAGGTCCAGTTGGGCAGTGCTTCCCCATCTGAGTGGAGAGGGAGGGGATACTACTTATGCCAGACTTGAGCTCTTACAGAGCTGAACAGTCATTATTTAAAATGTGTATGCATATTACCTGCTGGATAGGAAGGGGAGTAAGGCAGAGTTGCCTCTGAGCTGCCATTAAATAGCCATTGTGCTGTGGTCACTCCTTTGAGGCCAGTTGTGTTTTAAGCAAGATTGTATTAGGAGATGGTTGGGGGTGGAGGGGAATGCACATTTGTGGTTTTTAAAATGTATGTATCCCATGCAATGTGTAAGAAATGCCAGTGGACATTTGGAGTCTGTATTTGGAGACTCTTATTTCCACCACTGTACTGTATTATTTCACTTACACTGGTGCCATATGCTTCTGTCAAAAAGAAATGCTACCCAGACTGTCTTAATTCCTTTGGCTCGCTCTCCTTGATTGTTTCCTTCCTCTGTCTCAGAGGTTTAAAGCAAATTAATTACTTCTAGCTGTCAACAAATCCGCTTGCAGAGACAAGGTTTCTTGAAATCAGTGTTTTGGAGTACCTACGAGGAGATGACGAGCCATTCATGTCTGTCTGAATCTGCTGACTTCACTGGGGTTTGTAACCTAAATTTCACCTTGCAGAACTTGAACAGCGGACCTCCAGCAAACTCAGAGTGTGAGCACCCCAAGATAAAACCTTCTTCATCTGCCAATGCCATCTACGCTCTAGCTGCCAGGTGTGTTGCTTTTCAGTGGAGGCTCTATTTGGGGCACAGATGTAATTGTGGGTCTCTTCACATCTCAGTACTCATCAGTGCAAGAGTTAGAATTCAACACTGCTCCGATGGCATGAGCAGGGGATTCAATCTCTGAAAGAATATGAAAGCACGTGTACAGCAGACCCCCTTGGCAGAGACGTGTAGAGATCTTCAGGTGTAGATCTACCAATAGGAACTTCAAACCAAATGGGAATTGCCCAGCACTTGGTGCATTCTTAGACAGCCTGGTGTATAATTTCAGTCCCAGAAACGTTAGATACCGCAGTAAATATCTCAGTGTAAGGCTGCACCTTTTTATTGCAGAGAGACATGGCCCAAGGCATGAAATTGAACCCTGCCTGGGAAATGTGTATCTGGCACAGTCACCATGTAGCTTGGACAAGACTTTTGCTAACGGGTTTAATGGAGTCTTGCAACCAGACGGCTCAGAATTCCAGAAAGCCAGAATCAATTTGAAAGTCTTGCTGTGGCTTTGAGAGTTAGAGACAATGTCACTATTTTGTCATTAACTGAATTTTCACTACTTTCCACCTGCTTTTGATCCTCTTCCGTCTGCCCCAGACCACTGCCTGTACCAAAACTGCCGCCGGGGGAACAGTCTGAAAGTGATGAAGACACTGAATACATGTCGCCGTCCTCTCTGCCTGTGGTGCCGCCAGGTCCAGCTGGACAAAAACCAGAGCTCAAGCTGCCTTTGGAAATGACCCAGAGTTTACGGTGAGACTCCTGTTGTCTCCACAGTGCTTGCAAAACCACACTGGGCCAAAGGAACATGTTTGTTCATTGTGGCTGAGATTTTACCCAGCTGCTCTGTCTGCTGCCTTTTCCCCACTGATGCTGACCAGATATAGACTAGAGCAGTGAAGGAAACAAATTGTGAACAGTGCTCTTTCTTAGAGTCCCGATGTTAGCCATACATGGCATTGTTTTATCACCCCCGTCCATTTCCGTTAGGCTTTTGACATCAGCTGGCATGGAAATGCAAAACTCCATTCACAGCTTTGCCGCCTCGTTTTCCAGTTCTGCCAGTTAATGTTCTTCTGAACTGATCTGTTGTATTGCAGTGAAAGCAATGTGCTGCCTGTCAGGGCAAGCAGTCAAGAAGGATCTGTATCATGGGCTAAAGTGCTGAGGAAACAACAGTTTCTTTCCTGGTGGGAAACTTTTTTAACTCCTCTTTCTTGCAGAGTGTTGGAGTGTGACCGGCAAGCTGATGGCTGCACGTATGAAGCGATGTACAACATTCAGTCGCAGGCAGCATCCTCTAGCTTAGAGATCACAAACATTTTTGGTAAGTAGGCAGCCATGCATATTATAAAGCAACCTTGAGAGAAACCATGGAGGAAGCGAAGTGATGAGAATCCAAGTTGAAATAGTCTTTAAAGGTAATGTGATAGAAGCATGACTTGCTTTTGAGGGTAAATAGTTAGACGTCAGCATGACTGTTTTGTCATTGTGGAGTGCAGACTGCAAAGAGGGATCTTAGGTACAAAACCTACTTAAAGTGGGGAAGAGAAGCAGTAAGATTTGTTTTTTTTATAGATAACCAATGGTGACTTAGAAAGTTCAGTATTATGAGGGTTTTGTCTTCTAGGCTTATTCACAGTAGGGAGCTGGGCTGCCATGAAATCATCAGCTCAGATGTGTTGTCTGTCCCCAGCTGTTCGTTTTAATTCATGGGATATTGTTCTACCTAAATTTTGAAATTCCTCATTCCCAAGCCTGCCACTTCTCCTCCTAGTGTGAATCCATGTCAAGGTGCTGATTTGCACAGGCTAAGAACAGGCTTGTGCCCCAGTTAGCCCCAGTAATTCCAGCTGGCAATTACAGCTGACCATCCTCAGGGCAGAATATTTTTGGGAGTGGACCAGGCATTCTCACTGAACATTTTCAAACCTGTGGAGGCTTCTATCCCTAGGGATCAGAATGAACTCACATCTTGATCCTTTTGGAAACTGAGGCAAATTCAGTCTCTTGTCACAGCCCTTCTGCTTAGTCAAGATGACTTGACTGGTTTCTTGGAAGGCAGTCACCAAAAATGAGTCTGCCCAAGTGAGATCATTGTGAGGAGGGCTGGTGAGTGTGTCCTTTTCTTGAGGAAGTTGATGAATTCCATGTGTGAACATGACACCCTGCTTACTAATGAGACCAATGCATTAAATGTCCCTGTAGAGAACCAGTTAATTGGGTGCACTAGAGAGGTCACGAATAACTTGCAGCTACACCCAGGGGCCTGACTAAAGGAGTTACACTCAAAACAAGTGTGTGGTATCTCTCCTGTCCCTTTTTTTGGCTTTCTGCTGTGGGTTTGAGCAGGGAGGGATGTGCCTGGCTATGTAAGCTGCAAAGCTAAAGGTGTGTGTGCATGTAGGACAAAGTATTAAAGAGGGATGGGTAGGCCCTATGAAAGGATTTTACCTCTCTTGACATGGGGTTTCGACAGCAGAGCTCAACACAGCTACTTGCAGGACCGAGCAAGGAGTGTACGATCTGTTTTGGAAAGGCTCTGAGCTATATAGGTCTGAGCTGACTACCTGTGGGCTTTCCTAGATGAGAGGGATCTGGCTGCAGCTGCTGCCAGTAACGGCCCCGAGGAGTCTGAAAATGAAGAAGATGGCTACGACATCCCTAAGCCGCCTTTGCCCATCGCCCTTGCACGTCGCACACTGTCCGACATCTCCAATGCCACGTCTGCCTTCAGCCGGATGTCTCTGGATGGGGATCCTACAACAGGTGAGTGCCCTTACTGCAGGAGCTCGCAGCAGGGTCTGACAGTGTGTCACACCTCTTGGGAGCATCTCATAGACCTCCTCTGTAGGCTACAGGCTTGATCCTGCGCTACAGAGGTCCTCTAGTCCTTATGGGTGAAGATGGAGTAAGCCTTTGAGTGCAATCAAAACACTGCATATTTGCATATTTGGGTTTATATTTGCTCCATTCACCTAAACTTCAAGGCACCCAGGTCACCTTCTGGCACTCAGGTCAATCTGTTGCACTCGCTGAGAGAGGAAGTTGAATGCCCGCTATAGTTGTATTTAGTACAGACACGTGGAACTGCACAAAGAGAACAGGGATGAGCGATGACCCTGTGTGCTCCTCTCTCTCATCACATCTGTGCTGGTTCAGGCTACTGGGGGTGGTTCTTTACCAGCAGATGGAGCTAGCTTACCTTCCAGGGATCTCAACCCCTGCTCAGTGGTGCTGGCTGGCTTCCCAAGGTCACGCCGCCTGTCCTTCTGGGTGGCATGACTTTTTCTGAGAGTAAACAGGTTTTAGCTGCCCAGAAATCTGCTCATCTGCCTGAGCTCCTCCTCTCTCCGCTGTCCAGCTGCTTTTGAGGGAAGCACCGCCAACCTTCCGGCGATTAATTTTGCACCGTAATTACAAGGTTACTCTCCGGAGGAGGGTCATTGTGGCTGACTCCTGCCGAACCCACCAGTTCGTGTCAGAGCGAAAGGATGGGGCAGCTGTGGCACAAGCCCTTGAAAGTGACCCCCATAAATTTCTCCCCCACTAAAGGGGTCTCAGAGGGATTATCTCCTAGACCTTGCATGACTTAGGGGTGAGGGAAGGGGCAGAACAGAGCAGTACCTTTCTGTCCAGGGTCTCCAGGCCAAATAGGCTCTTTCTTGTCTTGGTCACTTTGCTACAAAACCCCAACCTGAAAGTTTCAGGTTGTAGCTTTCCCTCCTGCAGACTCACCCGTGGAGCCAACTCCTTTGCCTCCAGCTCCCACTCTTCCCCTCCAGCTCTGAGAACAGCAGCAGAGCTTAGCAACATTGTCACCTGCCCTGTACCCCACTGAAAAAGGATCAAGCACTTGGTATCTTTATGTTCCCAGTTGTGCCATTAGCTCTGAGTAACCATAGGGCTAAGCGCCTTCCTTTCCCTGTGCCCCAGTTTCCACAACTGTGTGAAGAGGCTGATGAAGCTGCCCCACCATTGCGAAATGCTTTGAGCCCTGTGGATGGAGCAGTGCTTTAGGAGGGCTCAGTAAGCATTACCTTGAGGAGGTTTTGTCATCCTCTGAGTCACTGAGTATTGGCTGCTCCCAGACACTGGGTGCTAAGTGAGCTGGCACTGTGGTGCGGTCTATTGTGGTAGCTCTGGTTGTGTGCTGTTCCACACAGCGCATCTTTCTTCCCCTCTCAGTAACATACCAGTGGCCGCTCTTAAGCTGACGTGCAGTCTTTGAGATTTGCTTCAGTTCATGCTGTGTGGGGAGGGAGCTCTTATTCTCTCAACTGTATAAAAGGATTTTATATCTAAGCCCTTTGTTTTCCTTTGATGATTGAGGAGCCGGGCCGCCTCATGGTGGGTGAGGCAGCTCCAGAGAATGCTCTGCCTCTAGAGCCCTCTTTGTCTTAACACTTTGGACATGCGGTGCTTCAAAAGCCTTTGTCATGCTAACCACTTCCTTCCTGGTACCAGGCTGCATAGCTCCCTCTTCCCGACTGGCAGCTTGGGCATTTGTACTCTGAGCCTCCCCTGGAACTGTTGCACTGGCACCGGGTGTTAGTGCAGAGGGGGAGGAACAACCCTGGTTTGGGGAGCAGAATTGAATGGGTTCTTTGGATAACTAGGTTCAGCCTTGTGCTTGCTTCATTCCTAGCCTCAACCAGCAGTGTATAGCAACCAGCAGTGCTGAGGGGTGGGCCAGTGTGGCCTCGTGTCTGTGGAGGCTTTCCAATGCCAGAAGGGCAGTGAGAAGCATGCCAGTACCACTGCTGCCTTGTCATGAGACCGCAGGTGAATGCAGGAGCTTGTCCCCTCCCCACAGTAACACGCACCTGTTTTTCCTTCCAGGTTTCTCTGATGGCACTCAGGTTCCAGAGCGGCCACCGAAGCCTTTGCCACGGAGGATAAACTCCGAACGAAAGGCCGGCAGCTGCCAGCCGGGGCCTAGCACCCCCCCTCAGCTCTCCAGTGAGATCGAGAACCTTATGAGCCAAGGATACTCATATCAGGACATTCAGAAAGCACTGGTCATCGCACATAACAATATCGAAATGGCCAAGAATATTCTCCGGGAGTTTGTTTCCATTTCCTCCCCTGCACACGTGGCCACATAGCACATCCCCTCCATGCCTACAGCTTGTGTGGACCAACTGCCTGGGCAGCCTGTAGCCCAGCTGCGCTCACAAGGGGGAAGGGGGTTCCTTTACGGGCTTCCTGCTGGATTCAGCCTTGCCTCTGAAGCGAATCAGTTAACAGGTTTATGTGGTTCCAGATTTCAAAGCAATGGAGTGAGACGGAGCAGATTGGTGTTTTATACAGTGTGTGTCTTGGCATCCTTTTTGGAGTCCTTTCCCTGCCTCTTGTGCGAGAGTACAGATTTGTTTCCCAGGGCGCTGGTAGACGAAGGGGTCACGACAGGTGATTCTGGAGCCGGTGCCTGGGGGCAGGGCAGTGCTTTGTGCTGTGAATTCTAGCGGAGTGCTCTGAAAGCGTCTCCGGGTTGCTGTGGTGTGTCCTGTGGCTCATGGTACTAGATTTGGATCTGTTCACTGCTGTGTGTTTGGCTCAGGCTTTCTAGAGCAGTCGGTAGGTGGCCTTCTGCTGGGAATAAATAGGAGAGCTTGGAAGAAACCTCTGCATTTCTTCCATTTACTGCGGCGTCCCCCTCCAGGCCCAGAACGGTGTTTATTGCTCACAATAGAAATCCTCTTTAACCTGGATACTGTGCGACTAGCTGCAGCCAGGCATCTTTAGCTGCTTAGCGCTGGGAGTTGAACTTCTCCCGGTCTCTCTCTCCTGCTGCTGGCAGGGGCTGGCTGCACCAGATTCCAGGGAGTCGGATCCGTTGAACTTTGTGTGCATGTTTCTCAGGGCTGGGGAGGGGCTGCGCACTGCCTGCTGCTTATCCTTTTAACCCCGAGCATTTCTGCAGAAACACTTAGACTTGATCGCAGCTGGGCTGGACTCACACAGCCCCCCTGGTTGCTCCCGCACACCCTCGCGTATAGGAACGTCGCATCTGGTAGACAGTGTTTTATTGCTCTTAACTGCATGGCAGCTGTAGCAGACCAGTGCTCTTCACACACATTCCATCCTCTCCTTCCGAGAGCTTCTGTGCGAGCCAGCCATCCATGTGCCTGGGTGTTCGTGGGCTTGGCACTTGTGTTCTTCAGCACCTTCTCCACTTTGCAGTACAAACGCGATGGTTCTCTGCACGTCTGTCTGTCTCCCACAGCATAGGGGCCCTCTCTCTTTGCTACACCAAGGCGTTGCCCGAGCTTGTCAGGCAGATGATGCAGGGAAATGGGGCATTTACGCAAGAATCAAACGGGACTTTAAATGTCAGCGTTGAACTATCGCTTGTGGACAAACCTGACTTGCTTCTTATCCAGCTTAATCCCTTTCACATCATGTGTTTCTGATGTACAGTAAGTAATTGGTCCCTTCAGAGACGTGGAGGATTCAGCCCTGCTAAGCTGACAAATGAACATATTGCAGCCTGGGGTCAGCGGACATGAGCCTTTCAGGTCTTGCCTTGCATCGGTTGGTTCTCTGTGGTGTCCTGCGCCGGAGCAGCAGTTGCCACAAAGTGAAATACTGTGGTTTGAAGTAACCTGAGGATGGGGCGAGGTTGCTTTGTGCAGTTCAGCCATTTTGCAGACTCGGTTACCCGATTCCTCATCTCAGATCAGAGCCCAAGCCTGATTCAGAGAGAATTCAGAGCATGAGCAAAGGGTCCAAAGGAGGACATGGCACTAGGTTCTCACTTGATGTGGAACAAGTTTCTTTCCAAACCTGCAGCCTGGTTGTTGTTGCTGCCGCGTGGGATCCAGGTAGTACGACCCAGCTTCCACGCGCCTCACGCATAGTCAGGGGTAGACTCGAGCCCTGCTAAAGGAGAGGGGTGGTTGAAGTGAATGCCCCCATGCTCCATGAAGCAAGCTCTTTCTCCTGCTCCTGCAGCCGGGCCTGTGACAGTGGCCAAGTCCTGCCAGCGTGGCATGGCATGCTGGGACTCCAGTCCAATGCCAGCCCTGGTCAGCACATCTTCCAGAGCCTTGCGAGAGGAGAAGCTGGCACAAGGGCAGCTCTGCCTGCTCTCTCAGTACATCCGCAGGATGCAGTAGCAGTTGTGACCCTGACCCAGCAGTTCCTCACATCTGAGAATCGGTTCCTGCTCTGTGCTTTTCCAGTGTGTGCTGGAGGCCCCACTGCTAGCAATCGCCCCTCTTTAACACCCCCTCTTTTGCATCTTGGCCCTCAGGAGGGCCACCCACATGATCCGGGGACTGCAGGGCAGACCCTACAACGAGAGGTTACGGGACCTGAACCTGTTCAGCCTTCACAAGAGAAAGCTGAGGGGGGACCTGGTGACCGTCTATAAACTCACTAGGGGGGACCAGAAGGGTTTGGGGGAGACCTTGTTTCCCCTAGCACCCCCCCGGGATAACAAGGAATAACGGCCACAAGTTGTTGGAGGGTAGGTTTAGATTAGACATCCATAAGAATTACTTCGCAGTCAGGGCGGCTAGGATCTGGAACCAACTGCCAAGGGAAGTGGTGCTGGCTCCTACCCTGGGGGTTTTTAAGAAGCGGCTTGATGCCTACCTGGCTGGGGTCATTCGAGCCCTGTTTTCTTCCTGCCCAGGCAGGGGGGCGGAGCTGAAGATCTGCAAGATCCCTTCCGACCCGACTTCTATGATTCTGTGATTCTTTCTTGAAGGCTGCGGCTAGCTGCGGGTTGCTTTGGGAGCCAGGGTGCTTCTCATCTTCTCTGCACGGTCTGCAGGGCAGCAGGGCTGGATTTCCCCCAGGGTGTTGGGGCTGCTGCCATGGGAATTCAGTAAGGAGCTTCAGTCATTGTCCCGCTGCAGAGCGGGTGCTCCGGGCAACCACTTCCTGTTCTTTCCTGCCAGCCCTTTTTCCCAGGCTCTTCCGGTTGGCAGTTACGTACCCATACTTTTCAGGGTTCAGACACGGAGGCTCACAGCCTGCGGGAGTCATTCCAAGTGGTGAAGAGCGCAGTTTTGGGGCATGTGTCTCTCCGACTTCCCTTCCCTGCATGTGCCCTTCCTCGTCCACTGGGCTGTATCTTAAGCTGATTTGGGAGGCACAAGTGGCTTTTCCTCCTTGAAGATGTGAATGTCTGTTACTGTCAGCACGTGTAGCTTGGCCACAGCAGGGCACCCCAAGGTCATGTGCTGTGGATGAACTGAGCCCTTCGCAGTGTCCCCCTTGCTGCTTTCCTTGGGGTGGCTGATGATCCCCCCCCCTCCCCCTCAGTGTCTTTATTCAAAAAGGTTAACTTGATTTCACTTCTTACAGAAAAAAAAGCCAAATGTCTTGTGCCTTTCTGAAGGGGGATGCTGCATCTCTAGGCTGGCTCTGTGTACTCCCTGGACTAGCCGTGCAGCTGCCTGGCTGCGGAGCTGCTTTGGAAGTGAGCAGGAGAGAGAGAGGGGGCAGTTGTCACTTCAAGGATGACACTGTGTTTTGTAGCATTTCAACTGTGGAGGTTTTCCTACCTTATCTCTGTTACTAACAGTGACTTGTCTGGACTGGTGCTGTAACACGCTCGCTGTGACGACGGTAGAATTGTAACACAGGATTCTTCGTGCTTTTAACAAAACCAAGCAGAGTTCTGGTCATAAAAATGCTGTTTGTCCCCCACCTCCCACCCCAGGACGCGAAGGAGGCAAAACACCCGGTACAGGCAGAGAAGGGCGCTACAGGCCTGGGCCCCGGGGGTTTCTCTGAGACTTGCCAGGCAGCTGTGTGAACTGGCAGTCCCTGCCCCTTCCAGCCACCTGGGTGCATTTATCACCACTCCCACCACCTGGCAGTCCAGAACCAGAACGAGACCCTGGAGGCTGGAGGTAGCCGTTCCCTCTGCGGGTGTGTCGGCCTGCTGACCTGCTCTTGTCTTGTTCCTCTGCCATGCCACAGATCTAAGCATTACGCATCCCGGGCTTCTCTGCTGGCTTTGGTGAGCTTGCTTCTTTGTAGACACAGCTTTCTGTGCCGGTCCCTAGCTGCAGCCCCCACTCCAGGGGTGCTGCAGAGGTGTGGGGAACAGCTGGCTTTCTGGAGTAGGCCTGTCCGGTGGTTGGAGCTAAGCTGGGGGTGGAGTCGTTCCTGCACACATGCGTTCAGCTGGGTCAGGGAAATGTAGTTCCCGTGGCGTTTCTTCCTCAGTGGGCCCCAGTGGCAAATCGGAAGGGGAATTAAGGAAACTTATTTTTAAACTTCCTAATATAAACCCACTGGGGAGACTGTGGTGGGGGAGGAACAGTAGCTTTATTTCTCTTGAATGATGAAAACCGATTTGTATGATATCAGTGTTAAAATGTTGAGATTTTCACAAACTATTTTAAAAAAAGCAAAGTATAATAGTGTCATTAATATAAAAGAATTATATTAGCAGTATTTAATCCTCGCAAACCTGTAAAGAATAAGGAAAACAGAAGGTAAATATTCTTACAGAGAGTAGCTGAGCTTTAAGATTCATTTGGGTTAAAGTCTTCATTTTGGTTTTTTTGTTTGTTTGGTTGGTTTTTTGGGTTTTTTTTTTTGCAAAGGCTTTGTTAATGTTTAGAGGTTATACTAATGTTATTTATTAATTTGTGTCATTCCCATACGCAGCCACTAAGGACCTCTTTTGTTTCCGATTCATGCATCTGTGTCGGTCAGAAAACCAAGACAAAGTTTTATTTTTCAATAAATTTCCTTTGTTGTAGCAGACCTGTGGCATCGTGTTGCTGGCATGGCCATTGCCCCAGGAGCGCCTGCTTTGTATCGGGCATGTGCTGAGGGAGAGCAAAAAGGGGCTGTCAGGGCTGTTTGTGAGCACAGAAATCATAGGGAAGGGACCTCCAGCAGTCACACCTGGTGCAACCCCTTGCCTGAGGTAGGATCATCTCCAAACCATCCCATACAAATCCACAATCTACCATCAACCCTGCCACAACACATCACACCCAAACCTGCTACAGGTAAAACAGGAGGACTACAGCCACGGGTGTCCTGCTGCTGTAAAAGGTTGTTAAGTATACACTAAAGAGATCCCCAGTGTTTCATTGCAGCTGGCTCTGAGGAGCTCTCTGCACTGGAGTAATCATGCTGCTATCATGCTGTTTGGTACAGGGGTGATTTTTTTTCCCCCCCACATAATTATATCTGTGGTATAAACTCTCATGTGGGTGAGGATACAAGGGTCTGGAAGAGGTAGTGTTGCAAGCGGATCTGTCTTTAGCCTACAGCCATGTGTGGTCGTGATCTAGCACAGGGCAAGGGACCTGCCAGGAGGGTCAAAGGGAGAAGCTCGTTGGGGTGCTGAGTGGCCTCCTGGCACAGCATTGTGACCCCTCTCCAAGGACAGGTTTTGCCCAGTGGCCACCCGGCTCATGGCTCTTTGCCTTTTGAGGGCCCCAGAGGCACCTCCACAGCTCAAACTTAGTCTGAACCAGGCCCCGGGAGAGGGTATTTAGGCAGGTGGCCTTTCCTGAGGGGGGTCCTGTTCAGCTCCCAGAGGGCAGCCTGGGGCCACTGCTGCCCCCCAAGCCCAGGTCTTGCCTGGGGGCTGGGGCATGGGCCTCCTTGTGGCTGGAGGCCTCTGAGCCCCCCTTCTCTGCACCCCCTTGGCTGGGCTCGCGCAGGAGCAGGGATCCCACAGTGATCCCTGCTGAGCAGCTGGAGAAGGCTGGTCCCCGCACCCCAGGGGGACATGCTGCGCAGCTTTCCTCTCTCCAGGCAGCTCCTATGGCCCAGAAACAAAGGCAGACCTCCCGGCCGCCAGACAGAGGTCTCCGAACTCGAGCACGGGTGGATGGAACAAGTCCTCTCCAGCACTGCAAACATGATTCCCCTTGGCCCGCAGTGGGGAAAGCAAGAGTGAAAGCAGGGGCCAGAGGATGCCAGCCCTGTACAGAGTCAAACCCACAGGCCCTGCCTGAAAGAATGAGGCCTTAGCCACATGGCAGGCAGGGGCTGGGGCCTTCCTTTATAGTGGAGCCAGTGTGTGGCCACACGGAAAGAGCCAAGGGGCCCAGAAGTCAGGCCCCTAGCTAGCCAAGTCCTGTGGTGCATGGTGCTGGGCCTCTCCCTGTGAGTGCTGAGGTCCTGGGTTCTGGTCCTGGCCTCTCCCTGTTTTGCAGGGAGGCTCCTTCCTCTTTCAATGGAGGAGCCTGGTCGCTCTGCCTCAAGGGGCCCACGGCAGCAGAAACTTTCAGCCTTCCCTGGTACTCCAGTGGTAAGGGTGCTACCCTAGGTGGCAAAGGTTGTGGGTTCAAGCCCCAGCCTGGCTGGAGCCCTCAGGCTCTTTGCTCCTCAGTGAGTCCCTTGTGGGAGGGTGTGCTGGGGTGTGTGGAGGCTTGAATGTGGTGCCTGGCCTTCATGGTTGAATGATGAGGGTGTTTTTTTTGCACCTTGTTGACCTGGGGGTTTTCTGTTTTCAGGCCCTGCCCCCCAAAATCAAGGCAAAAAAAAACCCGGTGAGCCACCGGGTGGTTCAGGACATTTTCCATTTCCAACTGAGCTGCACATTCAAGTCCCCTCCGTCTTGCAACTGCGATCACCCCTGAGCTCCAGCTAGAAGGCAAGCGCCGGAGGGGAGAACGGTTGCATAGTAGATGGTGACCAGGGGACTCAAGCCGTCGGGGACTTGAACCTGCAGCCCCTGCCACCGCTGACAGCGTCCCGAACCACCCTGCCAAAGGGCCAACCTGACAGCCCCCCTTCCCGCTGGTCTCTTGACTCGCCTCGCCATCCGCCCTGCAAGCAAACAGTCACCAGGGGCCTGCCCCGCTGCTTAAAAGCAATGTGCTACTAGCACCAGGACTTGAACCCTCAACCTTGAGGCAGGCAGGGCTCCACCACCCTGCGCCACCAGCCAGCTCTGCCAGCCCCTCTCCACCTGGCCCCTTGACCCACCGGCTGCACCGTGCACCAGACCCACACCAAGGGAGCCCCAGGGCAGCCGCTCCCCTATGCCTCAGGGCCCAAGGCAGTGGTCCAAGGGCAGTGGTTTGACCCCCCCCAGAGTACAGCCTCTCCACCTCCTGAGTTGGCTGCTGTGGTGGGCTTCACTGCACGGGTGGGCTCTCCCCTCTTCTCCTCGCCTGCCTGTGCAGGGCCCTTCTTTTCTGCCACTCGATTCAATGAGGTGGCTCTGGCTGCTAAATCTTGCAGCAACAACGACTGCAACCAACGTGCAGCCCC